GATGGAATTCCACAGACACCCTTTTCTGTGCAGTACATAAAAGTAGACGATGTTATCAATGGGATCATGTCCTTTGGAAGAGGAACACTTCTGGCAAAGTTTGATGTGGAGTGTGCGTATCATAATGTCCCTGCCCATTCTGATGATCACTATTTATTAGGTATGAAGTGGCGGGGGAAGTATTTCATTGACTGAGCGTTACCCTTTGGTTTACGTTGAGCTCCATACATATTCTCGTCCATTGCAGACCTTCTTGAGCCGACTCTCAAACATAATTATGGCTTAAGCTTCTTGTTACACTATCTGGATGACTTTCATACCTCGGGCCCTACTAAATCTCCAGTTTATTAATACTTGTGTTCCTTTGTTTGCCTTCCACAGGACAAGATGGATCGCATAACTGCACTTCTGAAATCCTGGTCACTAAAACAACTTTGCACAAGGAAAGGGCTGGAATCCCTTATCAGCAATCTCCAAAGTGCATGTAAGGTTATTCCTCAGGGTCACACCTTGCTGTGGCGTTTGATTAACCTGCTGTCAGCCTTTCGATGGGATGACCATCCAATTAGGCTCAACCAAGACTTCCATTTAGACCTCTCCCGGTGGCTCGAGTTTTTCCAATCCTGGGATGGTGCTAGTTTCCTGCTTTCCCCACAGTGGGCTCCTTTACCAGAGTTTCGTACATGTTTCTTCAGATACAGCAGGGGCACGTGGATATGGCACCATCTTTGATAACGAATGGTTTATGGGTGAGTGGTCCTCCACACAACAGCCATTGTTGATCACGTATAAGGAGCTATTTCCAGTGGTTGTTGCATCCCATTTGTGGGACCACTGTTGGACCACAAAACGTATGGAGAAATTGCCACAAAATGCACATGATAACATGGCAGTGGTCAGCATGTTGCATTCGGGCACCTCAAAGGATCCAAACATGATGGTTCTTCTTCGTTACCTTTCTCTTATTGCAGCTCGTCATTCATTTGCCTTTACTGCCTCTCACATGGCTGGTATAGACAATTCCGTTGCTGATGCCTTATCCCATTTTGACTTTCTGCATTTCAACTGTCTCGCACCACAGGCAGTACCTCAGGCAACCCCAATTCTGCCATCACTGCTTGTCCTTCTTCCCATGATTTGACAGACAAATGCCATTTCTACTTAGCTAATGGCTTGGCTCCCTCCACTCATCAAGTTCACGGCTCAGCACAACACCAGTTCTTAGAATTTTGTAGCCAGGACTCACCTTCTGATAGGAATCAGCCACTGCTTCCAGCGAAGGAACAAACTTTGATGCATTTCTCTACCCTCTTGGCAGATCGGCTTCACCACACTTCCATTAAAGTTTACTTGTCAGCAGTCCATTCCTTACGCATTGACTATGGCTTCCCAGACCCACTCACCAACTGTCTCCAACTTCAATGTCTCTTGTGGGGGATCAAATGGCACCAGGGCTCTAACCTGCCTCAGCGACAGCCAGTGACTGCAGATCTAATGTCAGTGCTGCACCAGTCATTAGATTTTGCCAATCTTGACAATGTCATGCTTTGGGCTGCCTGCTGCTTGAGCTTTTTTGGCTCCCTCAGAGCTGGTGAATTTACAGTAAATGGAACTTTTGATCCTACTTTGCACTTGACATTGGCTGATGTACAAGCACACTACTCCATGAATCCTTGGAGTTTCAGAGTTTTTATCAAATGTTCAAAGACAGACCCCTTCCATAAGGGCTGTTTTATCTTCTTGGGTCGTTGTTCCTTCCCTCTCTGTCCAGTGGTTTCTTTGTCAAACTACCCTCATCTCCATGGACCAGGTGTCAGACCACTCTTTATTTACCAGGATGACACTCCTCTTTCAAGGTCTCAGTTCTTGTCATTTCTCCAAACTACCCTACAGTCTGCAGGCATCCCTGGCAAGTATTCAGGTCATGGCTTTAGAGTGAGAGCTGCAACTACTCCTGCCAAGAAGGGCCTCCCTGACCATCTTATTAAGTAGCAGGAAAATTTGCGTGGCAAGTATATGGGCTCATCTACCCCCCTTTATTTTGCGGTTTTTCTTTTCTGGGTGCCGTCAGAACTGGGCATTTTGGGGCTCTCTCTTCTCCCACCATGAGCCTCCTTTTCTCTGAGCATTGCCAAGCCTGCTCAGAGATCCTCTGGCTTGGCATGGGGGCTCATGGCTGGGTTGCCAGGATTTGCCAGCCATGGGTGTGGTCTCCATCTAGGAGCTGGTTGCCAATAGTGGAAGCCCCTGGATGTCTCGGGCACCCAACCTCCACTTCGTGAGGCAGTTGTTAACTATATTTTCTGTAATTAGTTATAATTAAAAGCAAGAGAGAGTACAAATAAAGATTGTTGTTGTTTTTGTTATTGTAGGGGTCACAATATACAAATTTGTCACTCACTCAGGTGTAAACTTATCAATATGTCAACGACCAATATCGATTATTTCAGGATATGCCAATTTGTCACTTGATCAGTTGAAAACAAATCAATATGGCAATGACCAATATCAATTTTTCGACGTATCAACTGCAGGCTGCAACATAATGCAATGAAATATTGTTGGACTTTTCTTCATTCTGACTGATTGATACTCATTGCGGTGAGCACATGTTACTGAGTCATTGCTCAGTGTATAGCTGTTTGGAAGACTAAATGTGTGACTATGTGTGTAGAGAATAAATGTGAAGATTCTTCAACGTATTGAGACATTTGCTCATCAATCTGCCAAGCTCGCAGGGGGTTTACAAATTCCATTGGCTGAATAGGAAACACCAGTACTGCAACTTATCAACCCATAATACCTAACCAAAACATTCTTGCGGCCAAGTACAAAATGCAATTAGAAGACTCATCTAATGCTAACAGTATTACAGAAATGAAGAAGTACTCAAGCAGGTAAGTCCACTCAGCTCATTAAAAAAAAAAAGAAATAGGCAGTCGAGGCCTGTATGTGGCTGCCTTGAATATATAGATAATTGGCTGAACTCCTCTTTTTGATAGCGGAAAGGAAAGTGTTCAGAAATTTGCATTTAGTAACTGCAGCAGTTCTTTTCATAGCTTCATCTTCATTACGCATTCAACAATAATCTACAATCTGTCTAAGCATTGTTTGTTAGTTCACATACTACAGGGTTTTCCCTTACACGCAAATGCGCACCAGAGACACACTGTTTGGATGCAAAACAGCAAGGAGAACAGGTCTTCTTGGATGCACATGGTTTAGGATGGTAGTTTACTACTGACTTAATTTAAACCTGAATAGGTCTGCGAAAAAAATCTTTTGAGAAAGGCAGTTAGAATTTGGAATATTTATTCTCTTTTCTTAATCCATCTTTCAACCTTCAAACCTGCCACATTAACTCCTTTGAATCGACTATTGCAGCGCCACATTTTGTTTGAATCGTTCTCAAGCTTGCTCTTGCTATAAACTCCTTGCAGAAGCTTGGGAATTAGTGCTTGATTGTGAGGTATTCAGGGGCACAATGCAATATGGCGGATTCAGAATTACAGCCCGAGAAAAAACAAGGAGTTTCTTGCCAGCTTGGCTTCAGTTCAACCAGCTAGTACGCAGTTACAGAGCTATGAACTTTGAACAGTTTATAAGCACTCGTATCCAAGAGTATAAACATGTTCATCCTCATTTTGGGCAGCTAGCTTTGATCAGTCCTGTAATCCCAGTATCAAGTGCTCCTTGTGAGCAAGGTTTTTCTGTCCAAAATTCAATTAAAACCAAGCTGAGAAACAGACTTGATCCTGAATGGTTGAACAGAATGATGATGGCAAGACTAGTTGGACCCGCTTTGAAGATGTTGATTTTCTAACAACAGCAAGAGCATTCAGCACCATGAAACCTAGGCAAAAGTGAAAAGTTTTGAAGTTACTAATTTGTTTCTTGAATCTTGCACCCTGCTTTGAAAAGAGATACCACTGTGGTAACCTAGAGAGGCTACTTCCAAACCAAATTTCAAAATAGCTTGTGAAGTTTCTTTTCAGTAGCATTCAAGTTTTTGAGTTAGCAGAGTTTTCTACTGTAGCTTACAATGTCATGTATATCTTTCTGACTGAGTTTATGAATCAGTGAGAAATACCTTTAGTACTTTGTTCCTTTTTGATAGGAAAACATAACAGAAACTGATTGAATAAAAGATATTTTAATTTATTCTTGGGTGCCCATACCATATTACTGTACTGTGCAGTGCAATATACTGTTGAACCTTGGTTTCACTATTTCTGGGGAGGGGGAGGCATTGGGGTAGGCTCACCACTTTCTGAGGGGTCGCTACTTTCAGGGTTTGTTACTTTGGAATGTTTGCAGTATGAAGGGTAACAAATGCAGTAGCCTCCAGTTGGCTTCAAAAGATAAACATGACTGTCTTTGAATAATTATTATCTCTTCACACTGCTTAAAGTTTTCCTGTTCCCTTCTCATAACAGATGTTGCTCATAAACAAACACATATCCATGCATATTTCTGCAGCAAATGGAGGCTACTTACCACCATTTTGGCTGGAGCACTTTGCATTAAGGAAATTCTGAATGTTTCGACCAATAATAAAATTGATGGGTATATTAAATATAGCATGAATTTGTCTGAAAAATGTCAGTTGTTGCACAAAAATCACATAAGGTTGTAGTGGTGTTTATCAATACCTCACATTAGTGTAAAAAGTCATGTAAATCAAGATTTACACAGCAAATATGTGTATTACATAAAGGTGTAGTAATCTCCTGTTGTAGTAATGTTTTGACAAGTGTCTATCTTCATGATTTGTTTACAACTTGTTCATGTTACAGTGCCTGAGTCATCACTAGTCATCTCTTGTATGAAAGTATTGGTAAGATGCAGGTGATGATGAGAGAAAGGCAGAGAATAGAAAGAGACCTAGTGTCTACTCTTCTTCCAATGATTCCTTGGTCTTACAATTTTTTATAGGAGACGACCAGGGACAAGTCATTTTCTATGTAAGCCCAATGCTGACAGTGATTTTTTTTCCACAGGAAAACTTGACATCACTTCTAACTGATGATGAAATGCAACAATTAATAGAAAATTTCGATAGACTGGATGTTAACCAAGGTAACACAGTGGAAGAAAGAGTTTTTGGACCGAGTGGGGTACTTTTCAGGGAATAATCGGGCATGAAATAATTTTAAAATCAAACAAGCACACAGCAAACGCTGATTGAAATTAAGATTACCCTCTGAACTCTTAGTCAACATTACATTTTTTTTCAAAAGTTTTACAAACAGTAGCATTAAAGATTAAAAGGAACATGGGACCAATGTGCAAATAGCATACAGTGTCCACTTACAGGCATCCAGTTGCAAAAGTTATAATTCCAGGATACCTGCAATTGCAAAAACCCATGGGATCAGGCACCAATTAGGTGATAAATAAGCATGGGGAAAACCTATCAGAATCAAGAACTTTGTGAAAGGTACAATTATTGGTAATGATATCATTATGTGGGAAACAGTTGACTAGGGTTACTTAAAGTATACACTGATGCTCTTATGGGTCAGCTTAAATTGATGCTTAATGCTCTTATGTCGCTGTTCTTGCTTCATTGTGGTAAACAAAAAATATGCATGTAGTCACTACATACCTGTACTTAAAATGAAGAATTGGTCCATGCTCACAAGTATCTAGTGTGTTATGAATGCATTCTCTAGGGAGTTTGGATAGCACTCACAGAGTTTAACAAAAATGCATGAGGTGCGCAACCAAGTGTATAGAGACACTTGGTAGATGCAGAGCTAAGCGTGTGAACCAATTGGTTTGTGCTAAAAAATATATTCTTTTAGAATGTGAGCGAGCAAGCAAAAAAAATCTGCTTAATAGCAACATGTTATACCCGTCATTTTATGAAACACGGGAGTGCATCCATCTTGTTTATGGATGCACACTCCATTGATCAGTTTAATTTTGAAGCTACATGCACCTTTCTAAGGCTCCATTCCATAACTCACTGACCTTTTGATTGAATTCCTTGTGAGCAGACACTCAGGTAAATGAGGATGAATATCTACGATACAAAACATCCCAGTACAAGGATATGCATCATGAGCACATGCCAGCATATATGGAAGAGGAGACTCGAAATGAGGTGCTACCTCTTGTTTCATATCAGAGATTATGTTTCAATATTAATTGTAGATCCAGTCTCTTTATACATGTACTCATGCCACTTTTATAATGTCATGAAGAATGAGGAGTTGGACTCATAGGCGCGTCCGCATGACGGCGGAGTCGCGCAAGATGGTGGCCATACTCCAGCTAATAGGTTGACAGAGACATGCAACCTTGGTTTGTAGCGTCCCTCTTTAATATTGGACATCCATGTTATGGTCAATCGACACCTGTCAAAACAAGGTGTCCGCTGACCAGTATTACGTGACCATATCGTTAGCTCAAGTTTAGAGCTCAACGAGGTCACATGTTTTGTTTGAAGTTCACGGCTGACCAAGTCTGGTTTTTGATTGGATCGCAGGCTCATGCCATATTAACTTGTTGTAAACATGCCGGCCGGGTTGTTTGGAAGCTGGTTAACGCTAACCCAGGATTATAAAAGTTAACCGAAGTATATTTTTTCTTGTGTACAAATATTTTTCACTACTTTTGTTTTGTGTATTTTGAGGACCTTGAGGTTATTCAAACTTGAAACAGATTGGGCCAAACAACATACAGTAAACAGAAAACCTCACCGTAGAGTCACAAAACCCAAATGGAAATTCTCGCTTATCCTGAGTTAGCTTAATCAGGCTTTGAAGAACCCGGCCCAGGAGCTCCACTTTTAGGCCTGGCTAAATCTATATATTAGTGGCAGGTCAATAAAGAGGATGAAAGACTATAGGTACTTCTCAACTTACAGTTACAAATGTATGTTATTTCTAGTTTAAACGAATGGACAAGGATCAAACTGGCACAATTGATTGGTGGGAATTCCTTAATCATGAAGCATTGAAAATTATCAGTAAAAACAGGAGTAAGGTAGGAAAAACTCTTTTGTCTTGTAAACATGCTATCGCTATATTCACAAGCAGTCCAGCTGAATTTCTGAATGCCGTTGTCATGGATAATTTTATTATGACAAAGAAACAGACAGTTGCACATAAAACAAAAACACATCACAACACAGTGTGGGTTATTGGCCTCAGTCGTAAATTAATGAAGGAAAAAATAAAGTTTAAAAATAAATATTTAAATATATCCACTCTCCCAATTGGGGCTTTTAATGGCCAATGAAAACAAATGATGAAACAAATAATATTAACGAACATAACATGGCTAAAAACCTGGTAGAAAACAGACCAGTTGGATATTTTACAAACATGGGCAAGGAGTTGGACTCGGAACTACCCCGAACAAAACCAGCTAGCTGTAGTCAGTATGGGACTTGAAACGGCGACCTTTAGATTTCAACTCTTGTGCCCTAACGACTGTTACGTTGCCTCCATGGCAACACAATAATTGTTTAGTAGTGCGACCACTGAACCCCTCCACAAAGTATCAACAAATGATAATTATACTCTGATTCCCATGTTTTCCTGAAATCTAGAACCTCTTAAAAGAGTAAGCTTTTCAGTCTCTTCCTCAGCTTCTACCTTGTGTTGAAACAAACTTAATATTGGGATCAATTTGTTTCTTCTGCAATTTCAAAATTTATGATAATAATTACAACATCTTATTAATCAGTGACATCAATGGCAGCAATGTCATCAATAAGTAATCAATGAGTGATCAGATGATTTGGCATTGATTTTTGGCAATGATTAATGAGTGATCAATGAATAATCTTAACAGGCCACAAATTTTTCAATCATCAGTAAGTCACTGACTGCATTGAGTAGTCATTGATTAGACATGGATATAATCTTGTGGCTACACAAACCATACCAAAACAGAAATAGTAAAGCCAGTATTTATTGTTTAGATCACCAGAGATATATTAACGAAGCTTTCACTGAAGTAGGCTTTTGAACCATTTCCTCCCACAGCCATGCCTGGTCCTATACCTGTATTGTTATTTTGTTCCAAATATAGTTCTTCCTGGCTCTGTTATTGTTGGTTGTTATTGTGATTAATTTAAAAAAATGAATAGTTCCCTGAAATCAGAGAGTTCATGCCCAGACTCCTCTTTTTGTATTTATTTTTGTATTCACTGATGAGTTACTAATTTGCCGAAATTGGAAGAAAAAATGTTTTTTATGCATATGTGATTAATTTGTTGTGTCTACAAAATCTTTTCCTAACTTATTTCAGTAAATGTCTAGTTGTTTGACCGTCACCCTACGAGCTTTTTTCAGAAGACAACTAGTAAGAACCCAAAGTATGCCTAGCCTGAATTCACTTACTCTCTAGCAAACCCCCTTATACCCAGAAGTCTCTTATTTTCGAGGCCACGCGTTACACTCAAGACTAGGTACTTGCGCTTTGCACTCGCTATTTGTACAAATTCAACAGGAACCATTTAATACTGTGCGTATCTCTTAAAAAAAACTTCAACTTAAGGGTAGAAATTAAGATACCGTTCCTTGTAAACTAAACTAATGCCTCATAATATTTGAGTTAACTAGGAAGCAAGTCGGCACTGACAACTTCAGTATCAATTTATGCGCATATTAATTCGGTCTCGCGTCGTCTTATTTTACACCTTGATTTCTGAGGAGATTGTTTCCTCTTGGAAGGAAATGAGGGAGGTTGTTGTTCAGTTCTGGCTCTCCTTCTCTTATGCAACGCTGCAATCTTGGTACCTCTTTCCCGAGAGCGTAGCACTGCGTGGCAGAGAGAGAGTCAGAACTGGACTAGGGGAAGCGGCATAGCCAAATCCTTTCCTTCCATATGTCTTAAAAATGCACCCATCTTATTTAAGCATTCCTTATTCATTGTTTGAAGTCAAAGTGCAAAGCACTTGAGGGGGTTGCTTCCTCTTAAAAGAAAGCGACCAGAAGGGGTGGCTATGGTTAGCAAAATCCCTATATATGTCTTAACAATACACCCATCTTTTCTTAGCGCTCCATTAAAAGATCTGAAACATAAAATGCAACAGCTGGAACTGAAAGGGGAAAACGTTTAGGCAAATCTTTTGTACCAAAAATTCAATCAATCAGATTGCCAAAAAAGTGCTAGCAAACAAGTGATATGTACTTCACAACTCATTGAAGCACTGGTAATTACAATGAGCAACCTGTCTCTAAGGAAACGTGTGCTGTTGGTAAGATATTATCGCTTTAAAATTTACTTTATTTGTAGATGAGCACGTATGGAATGAGTCAGCTACAGTGGCATTCTATCTGATTTATAACTTTGTTTTCCAGTTTCAGCTGGTGAGAATGCTATCCCCTATAGAGATACAAAAGACCAGGGATATTTTCCATGCATTTGACAAAGACGAGGATGGCTACATCAATTCGCACGAGGTAGCAGTAGGATTTACTCGTTGGTTTGGAAACTTGCGAGTTTTTGATCAAGACCAAAGGTCATGGTAAGTCAATCACTGGTGTTTGTCCACTTTGCTCGAAAAATCCTTCTGGAACCTTTTGGGTTGATTTGAATTAGAAAAGTGTTAATATGCCTTGGGGATATACACTTACGCCATAAGCCGGAAGTAGCATGAAAGCGAGGCCTAAGGGCCCTCCAGATGTTTCCCGCGAACTTTGAAAGAGTAAACATGGAGGCAGAAACCTCTTCGATTCGCAATTTAGAAGTGAAAAAGTTGAAACCAGAAGATATTCCTGGTGCAGTCATAGAAAATGAAAGTCAGATTTGAAAGTGGACAGTGGAAAAATTAAAGTTTTGGTTGAAATGTAGACGCCTAAACCAGCAAGGAAATAAGAAGCAACTGTTAGAAAAGTAATAACTCGGCCAGTGACAGCTGCCGGTTGATGTTTACATTTTACTATTGTTGCTATTTAATGCACTTACGTTTGAAGTTTCATTGCTATTCCCTTTTATGTAATTTGGAAAACCCGTATAAAAGAAAATATCATCGTCACTATTCTTAAATCTTTCTATACAAAACTTGGAAAGTAACAGTTGGCGTTTTAAATCTGCAATGACCTCTGCCAAATCTTCATTTTGATGCTCGTTTGCAATTATTACTTCGTTGGTTTCCAGTGGATCACCTTTTTTCTCTGAACATGTAACCGAGTATGTGATTGTCGATTTCGCCTCTCTTCTTTCGCATCGCTTTGCCCTTTCGATCTCATGACTTTACGCTTTGGTCCACTGAAACCGTGAAGGAGTAGCAGTCGACAAAAGATCTTTCCTTTTCCCAGTTAAACTGCGCTTGTAATCTGTAGAAACAAAATGTTCGGAGCAGCAAAACAGAGACGTGTTCGATTTAAACTTGCTGTCAGATCGTTTCATTTTCACTGCCCATTCCATCCTACGTTGAGAATCTTTTGGAAATGTGTGGAACGTGAAGTTTTTTCTATTATCCGACCTATTAGTACATAGTGCTGCGGCACAACATTTATGTGAGGTCTTTTGTGCAGCACTATTTGATCTTGCACTTTCTGACATAGCTTCCGCGATAATTACTCGCGCCAACTGGAGGGCCCTTAGGCCTCGCTTTCATGTAACTTCCGGCTTATAGCGTAGGTGTGTATAGGGAAACAACTCTATGAAACACTTGTGTTTCACGCTAGTGATTTTTTAAAATTGTTTATCAGGAGTGGAGGTAGCTCATTTGGAAGAGCCCTTGATCGTAAGGATGTCTCTGGACATATTGATCGCCAGTCCAGTATATTTATGGACGCAGATGCTGACCGTAACAGGTGCTGAACTTTCTTTCTCTTAACAGTGTCGCATACTCGTGAAACAAGTATTTTCCAGTATTCGGGAACTGACATGACCTGTTGGTGACATTGTACGAGATTATAAGATCCGTACACGTCACAAAACAGTAAAGTATTGTCTCTGACTCAGTTACGGTTGTTATAAATGTGAACTGCATAATATTGTTTCACACGTTAGATTTTGCTGGCGTAGCACGCCCAAAGTTGTGAACTGTTAGATAGCCAGTAATTTCAGTTGGCGTTTTAAACCGACGAAGACCGAAGTTGCTCGGTCGAAATGTCTTTCTATCAGCCATATAGTGCAGTGCATTGGTTTGGTCGACAAAATTGCAACGTTTCCCTGTTTCTCCGAAGTTTTGAAAGAACATTTACAAACAAATGAATGAACAAAATTCCTGAGAAGACTAAAAGATGAGCATTTACGGTTTCTTTAATTAAAAAAGCATGAAATTTTTTAAAGTAACTGATAAGCGCGCGTACACAACTGCAAATGTTTGTTAAATTGACAATTAATTCAGTCCGCGAGAATTCTCTAAAGCTTGAAGTTCGATAATAAGACCAGAAATAATTGACATGGTTATTTGAGGGAAATTTCAGTTAGAATTCTACTAAAACAATTAAATTATTTTCTCTCGATTTCTATGAGGCGACAGTTGATGAGGCCGAACTATCACCTCATAGAGATTTCGAGCTCATAATCTAATTGTTAATTATAGTTCGGCACTAAATTTTCTCCAATTCTTATTGGTTTAAATTGATCACGACGTGATAGTGTTCATCCCATAGTGCCCGTCCGAGGAAAGCACCCGGATGGACGGTACTCGTCCGTGAAAATTTTTCTGTAAACAAGCGGGCCTACAGAAAATAAACAGTTGAAATGGTATTAAGTAGGTTTTTGTTTTTTTCTTTTTCAAATTTTACATTTGGCTTTCATCTAAAAAAGTTGAAAAATAGTTCAATATGATTTTTGAACTGGCACGCGGAAGAAAATTTAGTGATGAACAATAAAGACAATAGATAAATATATCGATTGCCTTGAGCTACTGAACTGTCTTTTAATTCCAAGCTTTCGCCGTTCTACGGCATCATCAGGGAATGAAAGAAAATATTCCATAGTGCGCGATATGAAAGTGGTGTAGGTGACGCGAATGATAGAATATACTAAGGACAATGAGTGTAAATTTGGTGATGGAAATATACGATAATATGGACAGTAGCTAATGAGTAATAAAGCGGTTAAAAATAAAGTATTTCGAGATAAAATGAAATAAAATTAAAGTTCTCCGAGTTTGATGCATTCTTTCGGAAATAATGTAGAAAGAATGTATGAAACACAGAAATATACGATAAAATGGACAATTGTTAATGAGTACAAGTGATAAAGCAGTTCAAAATAGTTAAAAATAGAAGTTCTCTGAGTTCGATGTATCCTTCACGTGTTCTGAAAACAAGTAATATCTCTATATGCTCCTTTTTTTCCAATTTTATGCACATATCTCATTCTCTTAACAACTTTTTTTCTCTTAAATCTCCAGAAACATAATAACTGGAGGCTGACTAGAAAACCCTTGGTTACTTCAGTCTCCAGACTGATATGGAACACTTTTTTCTTCGTCTTTATATTTCACTGATATAAAAAACTTTAAATTTACGAGTAAAATAAAGTCATTGTTGTTGTTCACGGGAATTAAGTTCCATTATCGTATATTTCCGAAAATATTACAGCATTTGCATTAGTATACTAGTAGAATTCTACTAAAAGCCGCTATAAACGTTGTTTTAACGTTTCAATAGTGTCAGTGTCAAGCGCAACTTCCAAAGTGTGTGATTAGGACTGATGTCCATCCCTGACTGCAATGGTAGCATTTTTATCGCAGTGACCGATTTTCCATAAAGGCAACTGCTCTTATTGAGCACGTTTTGACCTATTTAACGAGTGTAAGATTAGTTCGGGGTTTCAATCTGCTGGCAAGGGGCGAAGTCCTGAGTAACTATCTGAGTCAATAGAAAGGAAGTGGGCCATGTAAGTGTTTTAGTAACTACTTATTAATCGAGAGTGAGGTCTTTACGGGAAAATCTCAAACGGCAAGGCCAAGGTGTGAGATTTTCCCATTAAGACCGAACGTTCGAGGTTAATAATGGCTTTTTGCTTTGGTTTTTCGGGCCCGTAATTGTAATCGTGGGCATTACAGAGAATAATGCCATAGAATTAGCCAATCAGTGCACGCGTTATATCGGCTACAAACATCAGCCATATAATAACATAACCTACTAACCAATCTGTGTAGCCTGTGATTGTGCATTTGCTCAATAGTTTGTCAGTGGATATGCTAGAAGGTAAAGTGTTTTAGAGAGTCAATCTACTATTGCAAGATTCGACCACTAAGCAAAGTAGTGAGAAAACAGCTTCCTACATTTCTGCATACAAGCCCTAGAACATTTTTTCTGGCTTATATTTGGTTTTTAGAAGCACACTGGTATTAAACTGAGAGTAGTATGGCAGCAGCAGCATTAGCAGTAGCAGTGGCTGTAGTAGTAACAGAAGTAGTATCCGTAGAAGGACTAGTAGCAGAAGCCCTAGCATTTAACATTAGTGCCTGAAGAACAAAGTAATTTAAGCAGTATTGGGATGGAGTTCTATCCTTGAAAACACATGTTTGTCCTTTCTAGATTGGTTTCTTGGGACGAGTACTTAAGAGAGCAGGCGCTGTATATTCTGGCAGCGAGACCAAATATTTAGAGACAGACACACCCAAGAAAAATGTGCGTTGGGAAGCCAGAACCCAGGATTATTGTACTGTCAGAGGACAAGTCGCTCTTTACGGACAGTTTTGTTTGTTATAACGAAACCCACACATATTCTCTCTAACAATAGTGGACACTTTCCTGTGATTTAAGTGACAAGTTTTCGAAACCTTGCTTTATGGACACTGGTTATATGTGCACTGTGTATAATAATATTCTGTTGTCAGGATGATGTGCTAATTGAACAATGTGAGAAAATGATTCATGTTTTTTTTTTTTTGGCTTCTGTTGCTACGCAACACTAGCCACCATCTTATTTTCCAATGCTAATACAGTAGCATCAAAGCTTTACAACTCAAATATAAAGGCAGTGCTCCTTTACAGCTTGGAAAGCTGGAAAACAACTCAGGAGATAGTTATAAAGCTGAGGTTTTTGCTGCGGAGCGAGCGTAGCGAGCGAGCAGCAACATAATCAGGATTTAAGAAGAATATTTAGAAGGGGGTACGAATTCTCGAATTCATCACTTTTTACCAGAATGCATTGCAGTTAACCAGACTGCACT